TGAAGGTATGAAGAACTTCGCTTGGCATTTCAGCTGACAAGGGGTTGAAATGTTTTTTTCACTCATTATTATTATGTCTCTATTTTTTCATAATTTTGCGGTTATGAGGGCCTGCCTTTACTGTAACTGCCTTTTTTCCCCATACAGTTTGGATTAAATCTGCCTTAACGTTGTAACAAGCAGATTTACAACAATGTCTAGAAATGTCTTTGAGAAATGAATATTTCTATGATAAACGTGAATTGTTTTTAATCAGCGATGAGGTGGATGGAAGAGAAATGAGACCAGTTACTTGTGTGGTTGTGGTCGTTCTGTCCTGTAGTTCTGCAGCAAAAACTTTCTAAATAAACAAATACACTACTCTTATCAGCAGGAAATAGGTCACAAAAAGTGAATATTTAAGACTAAGAGTACAGTTACCTAACCACACGCACACTTCAGTGCTCTCAATGAAGCAGCTTCTCTTTTTCAGTCATCAATCTGCTGGAATATCATTATAGATGTATGGATGATTCAAAACCATGGACATTTTCATAAGGAAAATTGATGTCTTTTCACTGCCTGTCTCTGTTGCTTTATGATTTACCAAATCTGTGTGTATGTGCGTGTGTGTGCGTGCGTGTGCGTGTGTGTGTGTGTCTCTCTCTCCTCCCTTTGAACAGTGTAAAGAAAAAAGCTCCACACATGATACTGTATTTGAGTTTTCAATTATCACTTGTAAAAGGAAACAGTAGGTGTCCTGTGTATTCATAGTAATTACCGGAGGATAAGGCGAATGTGTTTCACAGTAATTATGCTTCTCTGATGTTACTGATGTTACTCATTAAAAAGGAGTACATGAGAAAATAGCTTCGCTGATTTGACAGAGTGATATATCGCCTTATTTAACAGTAGAAAATGACTCAGGCTCAATCGGAAATTTCAAAGATGAATTTGATTCAGCTGTAAATGTGCAAACTATAGAGATGTCCTGTTGCATCACAGTAAACCTGAGTTCTCTCAGATCAGAATGAAGCTTTTGTCTTCTATAATTTGAGCGTTACCTCTATCCTGAACAGTAGTCTTAGTCTTTCAATCATTGTAGCATGCAAAGGTATTTTATCCTGCTTTCCTCTGCAGACAATGACACAGCAAAAAAAAAAAAGTCAGAAAAAGTCAGACACTTCAACTGAGAAACTGATATTCAGGGAGAAAAGGAATTCTCTTCACATCTTCCAGCAGTGAGCAGCTGAATCCGGTGCACAGATCACTGATTGATTTAGAGGCTGTAAAAAAAATGCTTCACTCATCTCTCCCAACTGAGATTTGACTCTGGAGTCCCTGACCGATGATTCGAATCATTGACTTTTAGGGTAGAGAACTGCAAATGACTGACATCAATATGGGAAATCTGGACAGACTCCAAACTACAAACCAAGATAAAATATCCCTTTAAAACCTTTCCTGTTTGCTCAGAGTCAGTCTCAGTCAATGACACCCCTAGAGTAGACAGAAAATTTGTTTCATCTGAAGAACCTGGAACGGAGAGTCTGTACTTAGTTCAGAGCAGTTTGTGTTTATGCTCTGCAAGATTCGGTTAAGTAATTTGTAGAGTATCTTTAGAACAAAAGTGGGTGGCTAAGGTAGTTATTTTGCCGAGAGCGGAGGAAGTTTCCTGACGCTTCCTTTAGATAATGGCCCTCTCCCCTCTACTTTAATCCACCTCACTAATGTGCTCAGAAACACCCATGCACACATGTAGACACACACACACTTGCCAGGATTCTTTTCTTCTCTGAATTTCCTGCATTTTTTTGACCTTGGCTAACCAAGGTAATATGCAAAAACAATACTGATAGTATTTAATGGAGGGAATTTCATATCATTGCAGGTTTTATTATCATTTTTTATTTATAAGCCATCCAAACTCATTAGGTTAAAACTGCTCGAGAGAAGAAGATAACATAAATGGTAGTGTACACATAGCTGGCTAGAGTGCAAAAAGACAGCTGACTTGTCTGAAACACAAACACACACACACATGCACACACACATCAGAGAAGGGATGAGAGTATGAGCCAGCTGTTAATGAAAGGTTTTGTAAACAATCCACCCTGACATAGAAGCGAGCTGATTACTACTCTGGAACAAAGCAGTGATGGAACCGGGTTAGCATTGCTAATACACAGACAGACACAGACACAGACACAGACACAGACACACACACAGAGACTTCATACAACACCATCTCTTTGGAGCACCGTGGGACATTACTATTATCACATAAATACACACAGAGCATGATAAAGAGGGGGGAGAGAGAGAGGCAGTCACATGTTACAGTACAACACAAAAGAGCACCTTCTATTGATCTACTGTGAGACATTATCATCTTCACTACGGTACACAAAGCTGCACACACACACACACACACACACACACACACACAGCACATTCACAGATTCTATTGAAGCACAGCAGGATATTATTATAATCCCCAACAGGTACGAGGCAGAACACCAATCAAGGTCACGTCTGCCGCAGTGAATGGTGAGTGGCTCTGATAACAGCAGACTGAAGGAGATCCAGCTTTATAAATCTACCTACTGACAGGAAGGAAGGGAGGAGGACAGCAAGAGAGAAACAAAGAAGAACATCAAAGATCTAAACCTCTGTGTGCCTGTGTGTGTGTGCCTGTGTGTGTGCCTGTGTCTGTGTCTGTGTCTGTGTCTGTGTGTGTGTGTGTGTGTGTGTGTGTGTGTGTGTGTGTGTGTGTGTGTGTGTGTGTGTGTGTGTGTGTGTGTGTGTGTGTGTGGGAAGGAGAGAGTCATTACTTTACTTCAACAGTCTTTCATTAGTTTTTACTTTATCAAGTTACAGTTTCAGTCTGGGTTCGGTTGCAGTTTAAGTTTCTATTTTGTGATCAAGTGCACTGCAGGCAGGTTCACCGCACGAGCTCACATAAAAGATTCTTGGGATGTGTGTAACCAGATGTGTTGGACCAGAGGCACAGCTGTGAATTTTACCGAAACAATAACAGCCTCAATTCTACTCTAACACATCATGTTGTTTTCTACAGTTGAAGAAAGCACAAATCAAAAGTATATTTGGCTTTCGAAAACACAAAAATAAAAGTCACCGCACAGTTTATGATGCTGAGATTTTACTGCACCACCTGATTTTAATTGCCACAGTGAACCACATAATCAGTCAGTGGAAGCTGAAAACAAATCTGCTGAAATCCCCATCTCTGGTAAAACAACAGGGCAGATTTTACTTATTCATAAAAGTATCACTTTTAGTTTTTTATTGTGTGTCAGCTCATGTTTTAATACGTTTTGTAAGGATGACATAATGCATGATGGTAGTGCACTATTGTCATGGTATGAGGAATCAAATCATTCATTGTATGTAGTGTAGAAACACAATACTGTATACTGCAGGTATGACTATCACACACTATTTATTGTGAATCCAATACACTTCCACAGCCATTTTGACAAGGCACTTTAAGTGTTACCACAGCTTGCCCTCACTATGACATTTGCTTTGCTTTACTATCGATGCGTTTCCATCTCCAGAACCAATTTATTATGTATTCACAGATTCAAAGAAGTGTCTACAAATAAGCTTAATAACATGGCTAATTGCTCAGTGATTCTCTCTCTCTTGTGTGTGTGTGTGTGTGTGTGTGTGTGTGTGTGTGTGTGTGTGTGTATGTGTGTCCCTCTTTCGCTCCATCAGCAACTTTGAAGTGCACATATAGCAAATAAAATTATATTGCAAATAATATAAAAGGGTTGTATTCCCTAAAAATGATGGCATGTAGTAAGCAGTTCAGTGGAGGCTGGACTTTAAACCAGACTCAATTATTGTAACTTCCTGAATATTTCTGAGCCCCGACATTCTTTTAGTGCCCAAAGACCAAATAATAAGTCTGTCTAAAGCCAGTGTACTTAAATAATAAGCATCCTACCACCGAGTAATGAGATTCTCTCTTTGTGTACACATTAGGATACAAAGTTATGGTAACATGTATGGTTGACATTTAAAACTTGTAAAAACAATCACATTCACACATCATCAGCAATTACGATGTCTCAAATTCAGCCACAAGCGTCGTTCAGGTCTGAGTCTGAAAATTACCAGCTACTTTACTTTACTTTACCAGCTGCCTCTCACACACACACACACACACACACACACACACACACACACACACACACACACACACACACACACACACACACACACACACACACAGAGAAAACCATTTTACAAGCGATCAATTATTCCACAGTCAAAGATTCCCCCACTGAACTCACAGTTATGGTAAAAAAATCAACAGATAGAGGACTGTTTCTATGAAAGTGCACTCTCAATCAAGAAAATGAATGCATTCCTTTCTTCTCTCACATTTCACAGAAGTCGAAATGTTAGACATTTAAATATGAGAACATGAATGCTGCCAAATGAAAGAACATCTTGGTTTCAATAACAAACAGACAGTGAGCCAGACGTTCTTGTCAAATTAACATCCACGCAGACACAAGCGAACAGTTTGGGTCACTAATCGTCTAACAGCAGTAGTTACAATATCACTCAGCATTGAGTATGCTAAAGAGTTTCCACAAAGCACCACTGGGAATGATTCACCAGTGAGGTATACATGGTTTTGGCATCTCACTACACCATGTCCGTCTAGGTATTGTTTCAAAAGTTGAGTTTTGCTGTTAACCAGTTGCACATTAACTCTGCATGGGGGAAGCACTTCACAGTCAGATCCAACCGGACATGGACGGTCACCAGACTCTGATTTTTCTGATCTATGGAGCTGGTGTCAGAGACAGCACCAGCGGCTGTTTTTCCTACCTCCAAACATCACTATGGCAACTGACTGGAGGACTCTTTAAGCAACAGTAATACTCAACGCAGTTCACTTTATTTATACGTTTGTGTGAGCACAGGATTTGTGTATAGCCTCCTCTCCTGGAAACAGTATTTGTGTGCATTTGTCCTACCTCCAGAGATCTCGTTGGCATCCTCTGGAGGTACAACTGAATCAGTCAGCCTCTGGGGCTCGGTCTTGTCTCCTCCGTCAGTCTTACCTCTTTCAGCTACAGCAGATAGAACAGATCAATGACATGTTAGCAAAATCCCATAGAATAAAGAGCAGTTATTTTAGAGAGTTCCTTTGCTCTCTGGGTCTACATATGCTAATAAGGAAAGCACATACAGTATATACACAGTAGATACATAGAAAACTCATTAAACTAGAGCAGAACATGGAGAGAATGGAAGATTAAAAGAGCAGAAAATAGACCAGAATATGGTAAAGAAAAGTAGAATATGGCACATCAGAACAAAGCTTATTACAGAGAGCAGCATTACAGAGAGGAGAGGAAGGAAATTAAGAGAAAGGAGGAGAAGAAAGAGGAAAGGAAAGGAAAGGAAAGGAAAGGAAAGGAAAGGAAAGGAAAGGAAAGGAAAGGAAAGGAAAGGAAAAATTAGGAAATATAACAAGAGAAGAAACAGGAGGGGTGGAGAGGAAATGGGAAGACAGGAGGAGAGGAGAAAAAAAAGAAAGGCTAGGAAACAAGAAGACATGAGAGGGGAGGAAACGAGACAGAGGAGTACACTCTTTCATATCAGAACACAGTTTAGAAGAGAGGAAAGGAAGGAGAAGAAACAAGAGGAGAGAACACGAGAAGGCAGAAAAGATTTGAGAGAATAGTATAGTAGTGTAGTGTCAAGTAAAATTGATGACTAGAGTAGTGCAGGGCATAACAGAATAGAGAGGAAGAGTATGGTACAGTAGAGCAGAACAGAGTATGTGGAGCAACACAATACAATACACCAATAGAATAGAATAGAAACAAACAATAATATACATGAACTAACCTTTATGTCTGCCCTGAAGTGGTCTGCTCTGCTCGCTGCCACTGACAGCGATGACATTGACAGTGTAGTCTTTTGAGGGGTTGTAGTCTGTTATTAAGACCTTAGTGTCAGATTTAGACACAATGATCTCCCTCTGCTGACCACCTGACAGAGAGAAGAAGAAGAAGAAGAAGCAGTGGGGCAAAGGTTAGACTTCTGGATATGTTGAGCCAAGTTTTTTCTTTCCTTGTTGCTATATCCAGTTGCTTGGAAGCAAAATATTAGTATTCTCATGACCAAGCCAATATGAAGTTAATTCAGCAGAAGAGCTGATTATCATTCTCCATTCCCAAGACAGGCAAACCTTAGGCTCAAGGTCGAAATATTTTATTCTTTGTTGGATTTCTTTATTTGTGCATGTTTTTGTATTTCTGTCTTTGTAAGAAGCATACTGTGTATTCTCACAAAAATTGTGAAGTGACAAATAAAGAGAAAAAACTCCAAAATTAAGACATTTTTTTTGGTCCCAATTTAAGTCTGATTTTTTGCTGTTTTTTATTTTTAGAGTTACTGGGGGAAGCTTGGAGAAATAATAAAGATTAGAGTTGGTTTTAGGTTTTGGGGTCAGGAAAATACAATTTGTCCCTGAAATAAATTATCGATTCTCCTGAAGGAGCAAGTGTGTGTGTGTGTGTGTGTGTGTGTGTGTGTGTGTGTGTGTGTGTGTGTGTGTGTGTGTGTGTGTGTGTTTGTGTCCTTTTCTCAGCAGTTAATCCCCATCAGGCCAACAAGTCACATTATCACCCCATTGTAATTCTGACCGGACATCAATAAGGTTTGTGTGTGTGTGCTTCCCCAGCTCTTCTGTCCCCTGTCCCTGCAGGGTGATGACTAACAACACTTTTAGGAGAAGGAGATAAATCCTACTGAAGGGGACGGCAGGTCAGGTGGGGTAAATGCATGGATCAGTGCTCACACCACAAACTGGAACCTCAATCTGTGCAGGTCAACCAAACCACTGTCAAATATCAGGACTGAAGTTGAAGGGCAGACATTCACTTGGTCACCATATGACAACTGCTGCAAGCAATAAGAGTGCATGTCTCAGTTTTCTCAGAGCTAAACAATCCTGTTTAAACTTTCCTCACAGTCCTTTCCTGAAATGGATTTATTAGGTAACATCAGTAAGGGATCAAAGAGTTCACCTGCAATTACCTGGTTAGACTTCTCGATGGAAACCACCGGTTCTTATTATTTTCTACACGTGGTGGGTGAATCATCCTCTCTCATTTCTTTCTCAGGCTGAAAGTGTTGAAGAACGCCTAATGTGTGGTGTGAGGCATTAAGACTTAGAGGAATAGTTCAAACTTGTGGGAAATATGTTTATTCAGTTTCTTACTAAGACTTCAATGGAAAGATCAATACTGCTCTCACATGTGTGTGCTAAATATAAAGCCGCCAACAGGTTGTTAGCATAGCTTAGCACAAAAACTGGAAACAAGGGGAAACAGCTACTGTAGCCTAAAGTAAAGTAAAGTAAAGTAAAGTAAATACCCCTACCAGCACCTGAGAAGCTAACAAATTAACACAATGTGTCTCAGTTTCTGGTAATTGTTACAGCAAGTAATTCTCCATAAAGCCACACCCTTCCAGTTTTACATTTCAGTTTGCAGATTACATTAAAACACAGATTTAATCTGCAAACTCCCTGTTATTTAATGAATTTAAGATTGTAGGGTTGATTTTTATACTTTGGACAGAGCCAGTCTAGCAGTTTCCCCCTGCTTCCAGGTTTTATGCTAAGCTAAGATAATCAACTCCTGGCACCAGGAGTGTTGCTGATCTTTTCATCTCTTGGCAAAAAAGCAGATAAGTGTATTTCCCCAAATGTTGAACTACTCATTTAAAGTAGTTAAAAGTCTTAGAAATTTGCTTTCCTGTGGCCAAGGACTGAAGCTGAAACAACATAAATGCTGATCACATTTATTTCCATGATATCCAAACTGCTTGCATGTGGGATGACTCATTTGTGGAAAACTCATTAAAATCATTATCTCCCCATATTAAGTTTAATTAAGAAGATTTTAGAAGATTATAGCAAAGAACTGATCCTTTACTTGTTTTCAGAGCTGCAGTCAGAATCATTTTAAAACAGAATAAATATAAAAGGTTGGCAGGAATCTCATGGCATCCTGCATAACAAGAATGCTTCAGCACAAATGCATAACAGACCTGGTTTAACCATTAGAAAGCAAACACAGCCATGTTGTTTGTCTTTATACTGGTCAACAAAATGCATTTAAGGCAAAAATAATTTACAAAAAAGACATAATTAAAATCAAACACTGACTTCACCATAGTCTGATCAATTATAGAATAAATATAGTATGGTCATGCACATGATTTAAAAAAAAACCTGTATACCCCAACCTTCAAATCCTGCCCACTGTCTGCCTTGTGTCCTGGGACCTCCTCTGCCACCAGATATCACAGTTTCAGTCACATTCCTCAGTCATTCCATGTTTAACCATTTTCAGAGTCAAACTTTAATGATATGACATCAGCCTTGCCCTTGTGAAAGGTGACACATCCTTCCAGTGGTCCTGGGACCCAGTTCAACTGTAGCATTAGCATTGTTTAGCATCTATTTACAGGTAGCATTGGCAGCCAGGATTGACCCTCAAAGCACCAGGTGCTGCTGATTTTTTTGTGGGTCGGTTAAGCAGATGTACATTTACCAAAACAGCTAGTTAGTCTACACTAAATAAACAGCTGTTAATGCTAACATTGGCTATGTAGCAGTAGCAAAAACTTACATATAGCACCTTTAAAGAGCAACACACATTTGTTACCTGAAGTCCCAGCGCCACTGATGTTATGCAGCTGTTTTTGCAGAATCTCAAAACAGTCAGTGATTTTTGCGATTTGTGGATCCATCCGTCATTAACAGTTTGAAGCTGTTAGCATAAATTCAACGAGCATAAGTGAATCACCAGTGACCCCACTTACCACCAGTGTGTAGGAAACTCGTTATTCTGATTGGCTGTCTACATTTTCCAAGCCAGACGATACGGCAAAGGAAAACTTGTTTACACAAAGTTAAAAATGTCATAAGTTAGTGTGAATAGTTAAAATGTGTTATGATGAACTAACTTGTGTACTCATGACCACCAACTCCAGACAGACTTTGCAAAACAACACCAAAGTGCTGCAACTGTCTGCACATTTATGTACACTTCCCAGTAGGCTGCTGTAGGTTCTACTGTCTATTTTAAACGTCAGACATCACAACTGGTATCCAGAAACCAATTATTATGCAACCAATTACTTGCAGCAACATTGTAACAATACATTGCAGTTGCATACAGTAAAAACTGGACTTTTTTTTCTGCTGGGTTTGGCTTCATCTCCACTGAGATTTAAAAGAGTAAATATAGACATCTGGCACTCATAGCTAACACACAAATATGCAAGTACACACAGACACAACCCACACGATTTGAATTTCAGAATTGTTGGCAAGCTATAGAACAGACTTCGAATAAGTGCTTATTTTAGCTTAATTCATGCACTGTCATAAAATACAAAAAAATAAAACCATTGGAAAGAAAAACAGAGGCTAAAGTTAAAACAATTTTTGATGCAATGAGACATGGGCTACTATGCCTACAAGGGTACAAGCTGATAATGGGGAAAAAATTGAGAGGGACAGTGTTTTAAAGAAAAAAAACTCAGCAAGTCATTTTGTTGGCAAAAATGAGACATCTTCTTCGACCTTAAACCTGAATCCTTTTCCAGCTGCTCTTTGGTTGCTCTTTTACAAAAACTTTGAGGGGGAAAAAGAACATTATGTCGAACCAAAAGGTTAGCTGCCACTCTGACAGCATCTTTTGTGATATAAGATGGTGTTTAGAGTCTCAGCAAAATGATTTCAGCCAGTGTTAACAACCTTAACTATGCCTATTGGTCACTTCCTCTGACTCAGACAAACTACGGGGCAAATGAGACAAGACATCAGGTCACAGAGCAGGTATTTGTGTGCTCATCCTTCTTTTCATCAAAGAAGACGTTATTAACCAAATTGTGTATGGATACACTAAGGATGCTGTTAAAGTCCAATTTCGTACTGAATTTGCTGAATGCCTACTGCTGCACTCTTTCCTGAGAGGAAAGGGTCATAAATTTCAGTTTTTGTTATTTTCAGCTGTCGGAGGCAGCAAGAAATTGTCAGACGAGGCGGTTCTCGCAAAGGGTTGTTTGCGACAAACAAGTTCTATGTTAGAGAGTGCTTATTCAGTCGTACTTGTTCATTCTTACAATGCCTGCAAAGGAACCGTCTGCAGCACAGCACAGCATTAATACAGAACAAATGCAGGCAGTGGTGCGGCAATAGTTAAGGAACTGATGTAAGAGGAGGTGTATGATTGTGAAGGTAGGTGCACTGTGATAACATGAAAAAGGAGATGACAGTGGTAATTACAGTGATTACTGACTACACTGTCCATGCCCAGAAAGAGACAAGGCCATGCCCCGTGTCTGCACAGTGATCAGCTCCTGACAGAAGCAGGATAAAAGCAGGATGTCAGGCGTCCATCATGGTCACAATGCCACACGGTGAAAATGCTGTTTAATTCTGAATGAATGACTACAATTGCTGCCGCTGTCACTCAGCTGTTCTGGACTGAACTCCATCATGAGTCAATGTAGGTCCTTCTGTCCTATGTTCCTATCAGTCCCATTTCCAAATCTGCTGACAGGCTCCACCTATGCAGCAAAAACACTCCTTTGTCTCAAACTTGGCAGAGGTGCAGGACAAACTTCGAGTCCCCCATATCTCTCAAGAGTGTAATCCCTTCAAAGGAGCTTTGATAAGAAGTAAATTACATAATCCTTCCTGACAGACAGAAAATCCAAGTCATGATGGGATCCTCCCCCCAAAAATTCAAAGTCAAGTCTCACTTCTTTTCAGTATTTTCTCTGCATGTGTGTGTTCTGCGTGTGTCTCTGTACAGCAAAATCATCCTACCTGGTATACTGTTGTAGAGGAACAGATAGCTGTCAAAGTCTCCTTTGGGCTCCTTCCATGAGACAAGGAGTTTGCTTGGGCTCAGCACCTTGAAACGCAGCCTCCTTGGAGCTGGAACTGAAAATACAATTAACCATATTTAAATCGGCTTCAATAAAGCCAGGGAATTGATTTGAAATAAATAACACACTGCTGAAAGAAAATGGTTTTAATTAAAAATATCCCAGCCACCAATCAACACATGTTAACATGACAAGAAGCCAATAGTTATGTGAAACCCAGATACACCACCAAGACCGCAAAATCTACCACAAATCAAAGTGACTCAAACAGAGAAATGAATAAATGGATGGACGAAAAGACAGAGAGAGGGCTGAGTGAGTTTCACTTTTGAAGTTCCCGCAAAAATTATGAGAGCAACACATAAAGCAGGTCAATATGGCATGCAGCTCAGTTTTAATTTGCTTCAGCTCAAAACAGCATGAAAAAGGTTTAAAACGGCACAGATTTAGATGAAACTACTTCCAGTCAAATTCTCTTCATAAGGTACATTCAAAAGAAAGTTTGTACAAGGACGGATGATTTAAAAAAAAAACAAAATAAAAAAACACAGGGGCTTTTACCTGTGCTAGTGTGTGTGTGTGTATGTGTGTCTGTGTGCAGATTTCTGATCTATACTGCATCGTGGAGAAATAAATGGCGTACAGTGGGTTCCTCAGGAGCTCGCTGTTCCTTCCAGCTCTCTGTCAGTGAAAACAGATCTGCAGAGTCCAGTTAAAAATGGTGACAGCAGCCATTCTCCACATTTGTCTGTGCAGTCTGTGGCTTCTTACAAAAAGTGGTAGAGAAGCAGAAGAGAATTTGACTGTTGACAGACAAGAACGCACAGCGGCAACACAGCAAGCAAGAGAGACCACAATGTAGCATCGTGGAATACTACAAATTCACCTCAGATGAGAACAAAAGTCACTGGCATAAACTTTATGTCTGCGACACATATCACCATTTCACCGTTTTGCTTTATTGTTCTATGTTAGTTTATATGCACAAGGAATTCACCACAATCCACTGGTGTTTAATATTTTTCTACGTTTCTATAAATGAGCGGACACTGTCATCTATAAGTCTGATGACACGGCCGATGTAGAGCCTCTTTACCTGTCAGCACTCTTTAAAAACAAGGCAAACTGGATGTGCTCAAAAGAGATCTGACGTGCACTCAAATAACTCTGGGGTCATATAGTAGATGGAGTCGCAAAAGATTTGTAAGACTGATGCATTAATTTTTTTTATTACTTTGTAATAAAAACTGAATAGGTTTTAAATAAATCCCAATTTCTCTGTCATCATTTGGAACTCCATCCTCTATTTTACTTGTAACTGTGAAGAGAAATATAACTGAGAAAACCTGACATGTTTTGACTAATACCCCCCACTGGATGCATATCAGTCCCAGAAAGAACTTGCGGGAATCTGTAAGTGGAGAACCAGAGTAAAACTCTGTGCCTAGAGAATAATAATAATGAACTACAATTTTAAAAGTCAAAGAATCCCTTTAAGAATAAAGTTTGAATGACCTCAGAGATTAACCCAAATTAGTGATCCTTCAGTGTACAGACACAGACGCTGCTCTGTCAGATACAGGAGTGAGTGCAGACATGTAAAGACTGTACATCAGGCATTTAGGAGAGAGAGCATCTACAGAGAAAAGAGGTGATATGATGTTGACGAACCTGAGGTGTACTGTGCAGGATTTTCACTTGCTGATGAGGACAGACATCGAGACATCAAGTCAAGGCACTCTTTTCCTGAAGTGCTTTATATTGTTGGTGGAAAAGTCAGAAGTGTGGAGCTCAGCTTGGTTAACTACCACTTCACGGTTACCTCTACTTACTCATCATGAGTAATTATTGTAAAAAATAGTTTCTTGGGTAATTTCTTTCCTGGTTATACAACAAATAAGTGATTACATGTAACTTTATTGTTCAAGTTTGTCCTTCACGTTTGTGAAGAACAAACGTTTGTGAGGCTTGAGACAGACTTTTAGGCTATATCTAAGAAAGGCAAAACAAAAAGTATCAAAATTTAGGTCAAGCTGGGACAAGAAAAATTATGAACTGAAGATTCAGTCCACTTTTGTTATCAGAAATATGCTAGTATGCTTATTATCTAGTTGAATCAGACACAACTCTCCTTCCAAACATCCTTAAAATTTTAGTCATGGTATTACCTCACAAGTTAATGTCAAGTCCCAACTTTTCTGGAAGCCAAAAAAAAAACAACTCAAAAACAGAATCCAGTCTCAAGTTGCCAAACGAGGACAACATCTTGAACTTCTCATCACCAGATCTTCTGATGCTGCTTGATCGTATTGCAGAGACACAGTGCAGCACTTCACAGTTTTCCATTTTGCTCACTCCTTTCAAATGCTCAAAATGCATAGGATGAAACGGTATAATTACACCACACAATAAGAATCTATGAATAATTTAAGTCTGTGATAAAGCTGGGTAGATTATTACCCTGGTATCATTGAGTGTGTGCTTGATAGTAGGTGAATTGAGTTGGCAGACAGGGTACTAATAACCAGGTGAAAATTGCCCTGAATAACTTGATCTTTGCTTTGCATGTCAATGAACACACACACACACACACACACACACACACACACACACACACACACACACACACACACACACACACACACACACAGAAATACACACGCACCCACTGATTTTTAATAGAAAACTGTTGTAAAAATGTATAGGCCGACCGTGACTCTCTCCTATGCTGTGAATGCATGTCAAGGTCTATTAGACGGAGGCAATTCCTGATACAGCAGCTATGATTAATGAATATGGACGGTATAGGTCCAATAGCTGTGGATGCTGACAGAACATGGGGGTCTCTGATATAAATTACCTCTCACTAACCGCCACGTCTGTTCTTGTTTACCCCTGTACAGCCATAAATATCATCCAGGAGCTCAACATTTCACACACACTCTCTCTCTGAATCGAAGTGCCAAGACGCTTTTGTGAAACACATTAGACATCCACTCTCTGTATCTCACAATAAAATACTTTGTGGAATTACTGTAGAAACCCTGGCAAGATAGCTTAAACTCTCCCCTAAATTTACAGAGCGTATACGTATCCACGTATAGTGCAACGGTATATCACATAAACCAGAGCCATTTATCTGAAAGAGTTGCACCAGCAGAGTCAGCGAGCCCACAAGAGCTCCTTGTATGCAAGCTTCTTGCCAGGTAGTAAATGCAACTCCAGCCATTTGGCAGAACTTTTGCGACTACTGCTAAGCAACAACTTTTAGCTCCAGTAAATAGTCTGAGTCACTGAAAAAAAATTACAAACCCAGAGAGCCAGAAAATTATAGAAATCCCTTCTTAAATGATATTTAACACGTCCTCGCCTCATGCAGCTGAACCTTAATTCAAAGGGTCTAATTTGAAGCATGAACTTGAGTAATCTCCTGACTCTGTAGGGAGTGTAAACCAGAAAAGTCTTTTAACTGGCGGCCCAGTATGAACTGGAATTATCTGGGTTAAGGCGATACAAGCACAGCTTGACGCCCCAGTTTGAGAAGGGATGCCTCTTCCCAGGATTAGCAGCAGAGAAAGCTAGCAGGGACTCCTGATGGATGAGTAAATGCTCGCTGTCCAATCCTCTGCTTCACTTCATCTCCTCTCTCCATCCCTCCCGTCGTTCCTTGTCTCTGGTTCAACTTCTGCAAGCTTCTTCCCATCTCCTGGTTTGGCTCACTAGCCCTGCTCCATGTTGGCTCCCTTTCATCTTGTTTCTCTCATCTGCAATCCCTTCTCTTCCTCCTCGTCCCTTCTTCTCACTTTTCTTTCTTTCTTTCTTTCTTTCTTATTTCTTTCCTCAACAATCTCTCAAATCCAACTTCCATTCGACTCCACTTCATGTCTTTCCCTTGTCTTCTCTGAGCTTTCTGGCTTTTCTCAATCTTTCTATTTATTGCCAGTTGCCTCTTTCCTTCTGTCTCCATCCCCTCCTCACCTCTCCTTAACCTCCTTTTTCCCCTCTCATTCCCATCATCTTTCGCTCATCCCCTTCTCTCCATCCACTTTCTCCTCCTATTGTCTCCCCTTCTCCTCCTTTCCATCATGCTTTGATTCTTCCCCCCACTTCCCGTCTTTTCCTTCATCTTCTCTCTCCCACTCTTCCTTCCCCTTCATTTCCCCCGTTTTAATTCGTTGTTTTCCTCCTCCTCTCTCCAGATTAGCCCAATACCGACTCCACTGCCAGTATTCAAGCGACAGTGGCTTCACTAATACTCAGGATTTATGGATGACAACTGCTGGGTTGCACTGTCACCACAAGATAGCTACCGTACTGTACGTGAGGGAGATGAGGGAACTGTGTGTGTGTGTGTGTGTGTGTGTGTGTATGTATGGTGCCTATTCAGCGCTGCAGCACGCGTCGTTTGATGTGGTCGTTGTCTCGTTGCTACAAGAACTCTTCTGCTCACCGAGATAGCACTTAACCCAAATCCACTCCTTTTCTCTCCACCTCTCTGCTCTTTTTATCTCCTCTGCTGCTCTCATGGAACACTCCTCTCTTTTATCACATCTCTTCTTCTTATCCAGGGGTTTAAACTCTCTTCCCTCCTCTCCTCCTCTTTCCTTGTCTTCACCTCTGCTCTTTTATCCTATCTTCTCCTCTTCTGCACTCTTCCACTCCTCTCCTTTAGTGGCTTAACGCCTTTTTTCTGTCTTTTATCACTTTACCTGTGTAAGTGATGCCTTTTTCCCTCAACACTTATCTCTCTGCTGCATTGTGCACACACTGTTTGTGTGTGTGTGTGTGTGTGTGTGTGTGTGTGTGTGTGTGTGATCTCTCTTAAGGTCTTGCTGAATATTAAGAGTCTGCTGGATGATCCCTCCTCATGTGCAGTCTAAAGCTATAACATTCTGCATGCCTGCCAACCAGCGGTGAAAGAAAATATCACCATGAAATCCTAACTAGGTTAATTCTGCACGGTTGCGGTGATTGACATCAAACAAGGATGAAATATTAAATACCAGAATATGCTATTCTAACACACACCATTTCAAGGTCTGGTTAATATGTTGGGAAGTCATTAAATTCTGTATTCAAAGGATAATTCCGATAATTGGGTCATATTTTTGTAGCATTGTCCATTACTCTAAGGTTAAACAAGAATTAAATATGTTATTTAAATTGTAGACTCTGGGATTCAAAAGTAAAATTGTTAGAGAGTAAGAAACACAAGCAAAGCAATGATCAAACTGGCTTTGAACAAACCCAGAGGTTAATCCGACTTTTCAGAGGAGTAAATGAAGGCAAAAGGTAAATGTAGTACCCAAATTTCTGTAAATATTCATTACAGTTTATAGTTGGCAATACATACTGCAGCCTAATTTCCTAGTGAAATAAGACATTATTAGCAGCGTTTTAGGAAGGGTCACTTTTAGTTTTACCTACAGATAATGGGGTATAGATAATCTGGTTGCACAGTTGGCGTGTCTCTTGTCTCTCTGCTCATATTTCTTGCTCCAGTAGACATCAGCGTGGCGATACCGCCCCTCACTCTCCTCAGTACCAGTTACTTTAGTTAGAGTAAAATTAACACAATTGATAAATATAATGGTCAGACCTTCGAAGTTAAGATCCAAGTTGCAAAAACAACAAACAAAAGCTAATTATGCTTTCAAGACAGCTCTTAAAGAAGGTGCAAAAGACCAATGGGATTCAAATTCATTGTTTTCCATTTAGTTTCACTCAAGTCAAGAGTTTTCTTTAATTATATATGAACAAAATCCAGATCATCTCCACTTATTTCTAGATTTGTTAGAAATCTGAAATCTGAGTCACTTCAGGCTCTGTACAATATCCCACTCTCTGATTTTGGGAAACGTGTCTATGTCACACTGCAACTACTTTACCTGACACTCACTATTACTGTCGACACCGTGGCACCCATACTGTAACATGTGGAATATGCACATATTGGCTGCAGTGTACACTGTGCAGTCCTGGTCCAAAACCTCCAAAAACCATTTTCGAAAATCATCATCAGCTCATGTTCCAGTTAATTAAAGTTAATTTTATTTATTTACAATCACAGGACATTATCTACATGCTCCGACAATAACAAGAGGGCAAAATTAGAGAGCCTCCTGCACATCACATCTCCCACGATTCAATGCTCCATTTAGTCCAAAGTGGCTGATGATTATGACAAGCTGGATTACCATCAACAACAGCAGCCCAATGGTGAGGTGACGGCAGTCGAGGTTTGGATAATTTAGCCGTTTTTAAATTCAAAACAGGTTGTTCCATCTCATCCTCTCTCTTATGTTTATGAATAAATGATTTCTCATCATTGGCTTCTCTCCCTGTTCATTATAACTGAAATTACTGGCCAACACTTTCACTCATACTAATTCACCAGGCTGCCGTCTAACCACACATTCACCACACAAACACACACGCGTATCGAGACACGTGCAGATGTACACACACTAAGACAAAAGGTGCAATAGCTTTGTAAATGTGCTCTTGAGCGCATAATGTTGTGATGTGTCCCCAAGCATGGAATTGACCCAGGCTGTCAGCCAATCAACAAAATCAATTACAATAATTAACTACGCACACGGTAAGAGCTCGCACACACACGCACACACATACAGCACTACATACACACATTTAGCATCTTTACAATGAATATCTGACTCATCCAGAGAACAGGAATGAATGTACAGAACTTAATTAAAAGTAAAG